TCCTGGATGCCTCCGCTGCCTCCCGCGGCTGCTGGGCCGCTTTCCGCCCAGAGACATTTTGTAGGTGGGGGAAACAGGCCACAGAAAACAACAGACTTTCTTTGAGATCAGGCCATGGGGAAGCGGCGGGTCGAAGAGGAGAACGGGGTCGTGCCCGACTCTCGTCCTTGCCCTGTGGGACCGCAAGTGCTTCCTGAGACGATTTGCTTTATGTGAAATCAAGTCAAGATGCTCAAAAGAGAAAACAGAACAAATTAGACCTATGATTTAGATTTTCAAAGGTCCAGTATGTTAAAAAAAGGGGAACATTTAGGGCCGAAAGATCCTTGGGCTGCTTCAACAAACGTGATGTAAAGCTTCACGTGATGTCAGAGTTCATGAAATATCATCTCCTTTGGAAAAAAGCAGAACATACATCAGCAATGTTGTGTTACTGCCAAAAAGGCACACGTCGTATCAGTATGCAGAGGCAGAAAGCTAGTCTGTAAGATGGCGGAATAAGCTTTCAGCTCTCCTTGGTCCTTGTGTGACGTTCATGGGAACAAGAGTGTCCAGTTTGGGTACCACACTGCTACGACGCAGGCAAATACCAGGGAGGTGCAGAGAGGAGAACAAATAGTCTAATCTAATTAGGAGGATCTAAGTAGGACAATCTAGTAGTCCGTGAAGTAGGAAGACTGAAAAAAAAGGCAACGTTTAGTAAAGAAGGGAGAATTGAGGGAGACGTGGCAGCTGACCTCAAGTAAGTACCAAGATATTTCTAAGAGAAAGTGAATTGTATCTGTGGTGAAAAAGAACAGAAGAAATGTGCTTAAATTGCAACATGGCAGTATGACTTTGGCAACAGGAAAACTTGTTAAGAGAAACGCTGGAAAGGTGTGTAGAATCTCTGTTGTTGGGAGTTAAGAACAGCCAGACAAATACCCATCAAGCAGGACACAGTTAAGCTTGACCATGGGATCAGGGCAGGGGTATGATCTAGAAGGACTTTTCAGTCTTCCCTTCCAACCCTCTTATCGAGGGCGATGGACCTCTTTATTGCTACTGGTTTCATAAGATGTTTTTATTTCTTATTTCCCTTCAGTCTTTGTAATGACAGAGTTAACACCAGCATGGTTACAGATGCCAGTGCACAAAGCAAGCTGTAATAAGCAAGAGGCATCAAGAGTAAGAAAACCATTGCATCAATACATAGGCACTAAGGGGAAGATCAATAAAAGGATGGGCCTTTTGTTCAGTGAAAAGGAAAAACTGTCTACCAATGATCCTGAGAAGTCGCAAAGTGTTTGTCACTTGTCTTCACTGTGATGGAGACTAGAACCAATGACAAGTGGGTAAAAAGTCATTCTGAAGTGTGAAGATTTTAGGTTTGTAAATACTTAGGTAAGTTCAATGCTTTCAGACTAGCTGGGCCAGATGGCTTTCACCAGCTAGGTGAAATTCATCCTGTGATGGCTAGAAAACTACCTAAAGCAATCTCAGAATAACGAGCAGTGATCTTTGAAAATCTGAAGAGGATGGAGAGGTTCAGAAGGCTGGAAAAGGCAAAACATACTGGCTATTTAAAAAAAAAAAGTATCTGAGGAATTACTGACCAGTCAGCTTTACTTTATTGCCTACAAATAAACAGCAAGTAGACAACTCAAATTTGTCAAAAAAACCCAACACGTCAAACCAATCTTTCATGGCGAAGTAGCAGGCCTTGTGGGTAATGAAGTAGAAATAGATGTCATGTGTCTTGACTTTGGTAAGGATTTTGATTCAGCTTCATCTGATAGTCTTACAAACAAACTAGGAAGCATTGGAAAATAGGTAGATGAGTCTACTGAAAATACTGTTAGGAGAGTCTGATGCTGACTGCCCGCCTAATCTAAGATTAGTTTTTAATGATACATTGTCTAACAGGAAAAATGTGTCAAGAAGAAGGTCTGCACAGATCTGTCCTCAGAGTGGTACTACTTAATAGTTTCTTCAGTGATTTATTTAGTGGATTAGAAAGTGTGCCTATCAAATTTGCAGACAACACTAACCTGTGAAGGTTGCAATGAATTTGGAAGACAAGATCAGTATTCAAATGATCTTCCCAAATGGGAGATATGGCCTGAAAGAATAGAACACAATTTATAAGGCAAATGCGAAGTTCTACGCTTGGAAAGGAATAGGATGGAGAAAAGGCTAGGCAGAGACCTTCATCCTACATGACATTATAAGACAGGGAAATGGCTAGGCAGAGACCTCCAGTCTGTCAGTGGTCTCCATCAGGCTCAGGGCCTTCAGCAGGGTACGACCCTCAGACTGACAATGGCAGAGTGATGCAGAGCCCAGAACAGCCTTTTCTGGAACTGTACCATCTGCTTTCCTCACCTCTCCAAGAGTTACTGAGGTTCTTTTGATATTTTACTTCTCACTGCCAAAATATTTACACTTTGCACGCAAGGCCTCATTCGCTTTATTACTCTGTCTGCTGACTGTACAGAATCACAGAATAGCTGAGGTTGGAAGGGACCTCTGGAAATCATCTGGTCCAGCCCCCATGCTTAAGCAGGGTTAGCTAGAGTTGCCCAGGACTGTGCCCGGTCAGGTCTTGAATATTCCTAGGGATGGAGACCCCACAGCCTCTCTGGGTAACGTGCTCCAGTCTTCAACAACTCTCACAGTGAAAAAAGTGTTTTCTTATGTTCAGATGGAATTTCATGTGTTTCAGTTGGTGCCTATTGCCTTTTGTCCTGTCACTGGTCACCACTGAGAAGAATCTGGCTCCATCTTCTCTATGCTCTCCCTTCAGATATTTATACACATCAATAAGATCCGCCCCTCCCCCCCCCAGCGTTCTCTTCTCCAGGCTGAACAGTCCCAGCTTTCTCAACCTCTCCCTGTATGCCAGATATTCCAGTCCCTTAATCACCTCTGTGGCCCTTTGCTGGACTCACTCTGGTAAATCCATGTCTGTCTTGTACTGTGGAGCCCAGAACTGGACACAGTACTCCAGATGTGGCCTCACTAGTGCTGAGGAGAGGGGAAGGATCACCTCCCTCGATCTGCTGGCAATGCTCTTCCTAATGCAGTGCAGAATACTATTAGCCTTCTCTGCTGCAAGGGCACATTATTGGCTCATGCTCGCCTTGCTGTCCACTAGGATCCCCAGGTCCTTCTCTGCAAAGCTGCTCTCCAGCTGGTCAGCCCTCAGCCTGTACTAGTGCAATTCCTCTTCAGCTGCAGGACTTGCGCTTCCCTTTATTGAACTTCATGAGGTCTCTCTCTGCCCATTTCTCAAGCCTGCTGAGGTCCTTCTAAATGACAGAACAACCCTCTAGTGTATCAGCCAGTCCTCGCAGATTTGTGACACCTGCCAATGCGCTGAGGGTGCATTTGGTCCCATCATCCAAGTCATGAATAAAGATGTTAAACAGTATTAGACCCAGTATCAACCCCTGGGGGACACGACCAGTGACTGGCCTCCAGCTGAACTTCATGCTGCTGATCACAAGTTTCTGAGCTCGGCAGTTCAACCAGTTTTCAGTTCACCTCACTGACCACTTATTTGTTCTATCACCTTCCCGGGGATCAAGGTGAAGCTGACCAGCCTGTAGTTTCCCTGATCCTCCTTCTTGCCCTTCTTGAAGGTAGGGGGTGACATTTGCTTTCTTCCAGGCCTCTGGAACCTCTCTCGATCACCAAGACCTTTCAAAGATAATCAAGAGTGGCTTTGCAATGACATCAGCCTGCTCCTTCTGAACTTGCAGGTGCATCTCATCAGGGGCCAAGGACTTGTGTATATCCAGTTTGTTTAAATGTTCTTTAATGTGATCCTCCTCCAGCAAGAGAGTCTTCCTTTCTCCAGACTTCTCCTCTGGTCTCAGGGGCTTGGGATTCCTAAGGGCCAGTCTTACCAGTAAGGACTGAGGCGAAGAAGGCATTCAGTACCTCTGCCTTTTTGGTGTCCTTTGTCACCAGTGCCTCTGTCTCCTTTAGTAGCGGGCCCAGATTTTCCCTAGCCTTCCTTTTGCTGCTTATGTACTTATAGAAGTCTTTTTGCCTTTCATGTCCCCTTCCAGCTTCAACTCTAGCTGGACTTTAGCTTTAGCTCTCTTAATCCCATCTCTGCCTGCTCATATAGTATCTTTGTATCCCTCCTCCAGCTTCCAGTTCTTGTACACTTCCTTTCTATGTTTGAGTTTAGTCAGGAGCTCCTTGTTCATCTATGCAGGTCTCCTGCTGCCTTTGCTTGATTTCCTGCTCATGGGGATGGACCATTCTTAAGCTTGGAGGAGGTGATCCTTGAATATCAACCGACTCTCTTGGACCCCTCTTTCCTCAGGGTTTTATTCCATGGGATTCTTCCAGGCATGTGTCTGAACAGACTGAAGTCTTCTCTCCTGACTTTAGATTGGACCTTTTGCTTTCTACCTTCTTATGCTTTCTTTAAACAGAAATAAAAAAAAAAAATTCACCCACCGACAGCTATAGCTGTCGTGGTCCTACATGCTTTGCCACTACTGCCACTTCTGATTCCTTTAGTTGCAGCACAGTCTCTTAGCGCTGAAAAGGATAAATGAGCATCTGACTTTTGTTCCTGGCTCTTTTGCTCTGGGTCTAAGACCCAGACAGCCTCACCCTGCAAGGTCTGTTCCTATTCCTTTTTGGGGGGGGGGGGGGGGGGGGGGGCCCTCCCGCCAGCCACTCCTCACTCTCTAGCCTTAGGACAACGGCAAACCGTGTGATTGAAAGTCAAGCTGTGGAAGATACTTCTCCAAGGCCTCCTACAGGCTATCTTCAGACTGGTGCAAATGATACTGTCACATTTTCAGTAGATCAAAGGGTTTTAATGTTAGAACTGGTTCAGTGGTGTGCAGAGTCATAGTGCTGTTTTGCAGGAGTCTGGGTGTGCCTGAAGGGAGCCAAGAGCCAGGGAAAAGGCACTGTCTTCCCATGAGAAGAGAAAGATGGGAGGGCAAAAGAAGAGAGGCTGTATTTCTTTGTGTCTTGTTGCTACAGGCAGCAGAAATGAGAGCGGGTACATTTCCTATGGTGCCTGTTCTTGCTCTCCAGGCTGAGGAATGGAGGCAGTGATGCCATTCTTGTTGAGCTGTCTTTGCGTCTCCCTGCCCTAAACCAGTAAGACAGGCTGAACAGGTATCATAAGCTAGTGTCATGGATGCACCTCAAGATCCTGACACAAATGCTTATGAGTCAAAGCTGCTTCACCTGCAGTTCTTCACTGCTCCTTCACTTGCTTTTGGATTTTGCCCATGCCTTATTATCTCACTGCCTACACTCTTCCTATCTACAGCTTTGTTCAGTCTACTGTTTTCCCTAGGATCAGCACTGTCTCCATCTGTTTTTCTTAAACATAATTGAGGAGTCTCTCCAAAAGCCTCTTCCCTCTGTCTCTTTTCACAGGCTCTTACTGACCCTCGATCCTACTACACATGTATAGGAATAGCATTTTTTAATAGTTGGCAAGTCTTGTTTTTCATTCCAGGAGCTTCACACTGGAAGGACCAGGTTGGTCCTAGGTTGACTACAACTTGCAGGCAAGTAGAGAGCAATATCATAAGGCAGACATCTAGAAGAAAGAAATGTATTTCACCAGCTTTACATGACACATGCAGCCTAGGGCTCTATGTGTAAGAGCGGTCATGTCAATGGCTTTTCAAGTGTTGATGTCTTAATGCAGCTGCCTGCCAGATGTAGGGTGCTTCCTTCCACATTAGTGCCTGAACTGATGTCAGAAGCGGGCATTCAAAGTGAATCTTCCAGTCATCCTCACTTGCTGTGCTTTGGTTCATATTGCAGAACAGTCTCAGAGTGTGCAAACTAGACTCCTCTCAGAGGAAACTAAGCTAGTAGATGTGCCCTGAGAGCATACCTAATGCACTTCAAGCACTAATTGCTGTTCAGTCCATGGGGTCAGGGAAGAGATAATCCAAAGCAAACCGCTCAAACATGTTTGGTATGGATCTAGGCTCTCCAGCCCCAACTGTATCTCTGAAGAGATTTGTTTCCCTTGAACCATGCTGCTTGCCATAGACGTCATGTGAATTTCAAAGCTGTGAGGGGAGCAGTCAAGAAGATCTACTGCCAAGGAATACAGTGTCTAAAACAGCACTGGACATCAGCTTTTAGTCAGATGAACTGCATCTAGGAAGCGTGGCAGGGATGTTACAGAGGAACATATTCCTTTTGAGAAGGAGGAGACAGGATTTGATTCTTCAAATACTTTTTAAAGCACCCTAATGTCACAGGAGGCAGCATACATCGTGCAAACCCCTCTTCGTGGTTCTCCCTTTCTTTTAGAAGCTATGATTGTATCAGCTCCGATTTCTCCGGTGCTCTTCCTTTGGGATCACACATGTGGCAAAAGGGATGAAAACTTTTAAGGAGTTGACATTTCTATGGCTTATCTAATGGCTACTATGTATCTATGGCTACTACATACTTTTCAGCTAAATGCACAGTTTTTACCTGTTACCACCAGCTGCAATATTTTAGCGGCCCGAGAGCCTTGCCTCCCATCCTCCTCCCCGCCGGCCAGCACCGGCTGGGTGCAGACCTCGCGCTCGGAGCAGCCCCTGCGCGCCGGGAGCCGGCGGGGCACTGCCCCTTTAAAGGGGCACGCCGGGGCCTG